TGGTCAAGTATTAAGAATTTTTCCTTTGAGTCACATCTTGAGATCCTCAACTCTTTAATAAATACAAGTAATTTATGAAAAGTTATAAAAGAAAAGAAAATATAGATTCTTCTATAAATTATAAGAAATTGAAAATATGCCATAGTTCAAAATCAAAACAAATAAATCATATATGAAGTTTGAAAATTCATTTTACTTGTGCTCTTACGCAAAATCTGCAAAGTAGCAGAAAATCTTTTAGATTTTTTCCAAAAAAATTTGTTGATCAAAACTTATGTTGCGTTTATTTTTGTAAATTTTGATTAGATCAATCTTTTTATCCAAAAAATACATCTTTCATAAAATGATTTCTGATGTTAATATGTTTTACTATACCATAACTTGATTTATTGCAAGATACAATGCATTCAAATTATCACAATAAAGATTGAAAATTATTATTTTAATCTCATCTCACTGATAAGTGTATTCAAAGAAATCAAAATTTTTAACATTTTCATTGTTGTAACATAATTGGTCTATGTAATTCACTTTAGTAGACAGTCTTACAAAATTTACTCATAGATCATCAGGTTAAAATAAAATTTTAATTGTAGGTGTAGATTTGACATCAAATTATAAATCATCAAACAAAATATTAAAATACCTAGTATTCTTGAAATACATGTAAATTTACTTCATATTTTTTTATTCAATTACTTAAAGTTGATATATATCAATTCAATGTAATTATTTTTTGTGCAATATTCAATTAAGTGTATATTATTACATACATGAGGTTGTTTATTACCTTGTTAGAAAGATCAATCGCATTTTTTGCTTTGATAAATATTCATTGGATATTAAATTACAAATAATTTAAATTATGATGATTGTAGATTTGAATTTCATTGAATATGATATATTTAACTTGTCAAGCACTCATTGAAACTAATTGTCCTTACTTAAATGTGTATTTTTATTTAAATCTACACACATTCAAATCTAATATCGTTTCATATTTATTTGAATGATTTATCTATAATTTAAATTTCAAATAATCTTTATATTTATTGATTATGGTTTAATTTCTTGCCAAAATTAGCAAATCATCTAGAACAATTATAAAAAATGTAATTTTAGGTCATCATCTATTTCCATGTTTAAATATGACATATATACATTCCGCGAAAATTACTGTGATTCTATAAATTCATCAAATTTTTTAATTTATATTACTAGAAGCATATTTGAATCTATGATGCAATTTAACAATAAAATATAGTATAGTATAGAAAATAAATGTTTTTTATTTTATTTTTGCAAAATCACGTGGTTATTGACACATACAAAAATACAATGATCAGACTCATCATATCCATACAAACAACTAAATTTTACAGAAATTGAATATATAAATATAATTAAAAAATATTTTCATTCATAATTGTCTTACAAATAACTAGATAATCAGATCTATAGGCCTTTAGACCGATATGATATCTAAGAAAACAACATTTTTTAAATGAAATTTAAACTAGGTTTTGATTTTTTTGCTATTAGACTATAAACTATACAAGCTTTTTGAACTAATGTAATACATATTTCTTAAAAGATTCACTTCAAACAGTGTCAAAAAATTAATTGCATTATAAGATCTACTATCCTATGATTTTAAGATATTTGATTCAAAATATATATGCTAAATTAAGTTAACATAGAAGAATACTCATTATTTTCAACATTTTGACTGAATTTTCTTGAAAAAAAATTTTGTTGCAAATTATATATCGTGATCAATTGACGAATGATTGAGTATATTAATATTCGCTGCTCAACTTTTCAAAAATATAATGTTCATCATTATGTATACTTGTCATCTTGTGATGTTTTGATGTATCTATATTATGCAATTTTATAACACAAGTTAATGTAGTACATACTTTGAATCATAACACACTCGATATGATAATGTAATGACTCACTTGAGTCAATACACCATTGCTAAATAATAGATTATAAATTTTGAATGCAAACTCTGCATAATTCACACATACTTGTATGACATAAAATGAAACTATTATACGAATCATGTGATTTACATATATGTAGTCTACGTTCAAATACTCATAAATTATAGAGTAATTTTGAAAATAAAATAATTTACAAAACCTAAATAAGAAAATTATATATTTGATTATTTCATTTTATTCCTTCTTTATATTTTATTATTTTTTGGATAAGACTCAATTAGATTATTTAAAGAAAAATGTATGTCAAATATCTATCCAAAATTATTTGCACAATAACTTTTTATCATGATTATATACTTTAGAAATGTTATAAAAGAAATAAAATAAAAGATTTCTAGGAACTAATTTAAATTTCATTAATCAAGTTTATTATGAAACCAATAATTGGAAAGGAATAGCCTATTATGATATAAAAAGCTTGTCAAATTCATCATAAGGGATGATGAATTTGACAATCAAATTCATCAAATTTTGGAATTTTTCTAAACTATTTATGATATTTTCAACGTAGGCTTAGAAAAAATATGTCACGTTTATTAACTTCAACGATTGTTTATTTTTATGTGTGAGTGAGATCTAAGATTTAATATCATAGACTACACATTATTTTTCATTTTAAATAAAATTTTCTTTAATTCAAAAATTGTGTGCGCTTATTTTAATAGTTGATCAATTGATGAATACATTGAAAAAATTAATATCTTATAAATTTTTTTAATGTAAAAAATGATATGTATATGTTTTATAGTAAAAATTTGTATATAAAATATATTTGTAAAAAAATTTCATAAAAATGTTATATATATATATATATTGTATGTGGTTGATAAAATTATTTTGGTTTAATATAAAATTGACATATAAAAATGCAAAAATTTTGTATTGTGTATTGATGATGAAATCTAATAGTAATTACATGATAATACTGAGTATAGATGTTTATAAGACCTCTAAATAAGAAAAATATATGATAAAGTCAAGTACATAACATTAAATTAAATATGTGCTTGAAAAATATATATATGCATACTACAAAAAATTCGAGATTTTTTTGAGCATTACATTTTAAGTTTTCTTTAGCTCAATGTCTATTCAAAACTATTGAAAATACAAAAATGTCATCACTTTCATAGTGTCATGAGATTAGATAAATTCATCTATGTAATAATATACACTGCTTTAATATTGCTCTGAATATGTGCAAAATGAGCAAATATACATTGACTTTTGTGAAATTATATTGAAAAATAATATATAATTGATTTTTTTGAATTTTCATAGACTATGAAATCTAAGCCATTTAATTTGATCATTAATGATTAGACAACATTGTTTTGAATTTTAGAAAGTATATGGACAACATAAGTATATTCAATCTACAATTCTAACTATGATCAAGGTGAACAAAGGCATGTGAATATATTATATATATTAAAATTTTTTTAAGTGTATTTTCAGACACCTCAGATACATTATAAATTTTTATTAGCATATATTGTAATAATCTATTATGATTTTGATCATGAAAAAAAACTATAGATTTGGACAAAGAAAAGGTATACATTTATAATTGTATTAATAGTTGGAATCAATATATTAGTCAGGAAAATATGCATAGTTCAATATTAATAATAATCAAAATTTAGGATATAGAGCATCAATGTAAGCAATAAAAGAAATAATTTTTAATTATAACAATTATCATTCAAATTGGATGATACTAAAATATTGTGTATATTCATTCTGATACTTGAAGTACATTACATCTTGTATTTGATCAAATGAAGAAATACATTGACATCAAATGAGAGTTTATGAATAAAACAATGTTCTTTGTAAAATAATAATATTCAAGATTGAAGAAATAGTCAATCCAGTCAATAGAGGGACTTTTTCTAAATGAAAATTGACATATATTTACAATAAAACTTACAGAAATACATAGCACAAAATGTGTCCATAACCAATCATTATAACCAGTTTTTAAAAATAGAAATTCCTTTACACATCATGAGGTCAATAATTCATTGTACAGAATATGTTTGAATGTCGATCTTGATGAACATATTTAACAATGGTTAACTTAAAAACACTCGTTTCATCATGAAGGAAAGAAAATAGTTTTTGTGATCCAAAAGAAGAGTTACGATTTCAACTGACTCAACTTGCACGACTTGTAAACAGCCCTGAGCTCAACAATTTTGTCAATCACGTATCTGTCAATCACATTTGCATATCATCTGTCGATGTTTTTCAATGTTTTGTCCTGGCATTGTGAGGAGTACTAAATTCTTTCTAGAGGAAGAACTGAACTTAACACAAGGTTCATTGCATGTCTTTGACATTGTGAAGACAATTCGGAACAAAATCCTCTAGCTGGAACTGATATGAAAAAGTCAACTCGGTCAATCTGCGCGATGCATCAACTGGAAAGCTCAACTCCAACTATGTGAACTTAATGTAACTAGAAACACGATAGACAGCAAAAACAAATCACGAGAGATGATGGTGATTATCGTTTCGGGCAGAGATCTTGTAACTAATCGTGTACTTTCAGAGAACAGTTTCAGAAGAGTGTGGTGGGATCAGGGGAGGACGTGAACGCTGTTCTGCTCAGAATTGCCGCCACGATGTTTTGTGATCGGAAACTTTCCAAATTGGACCACTCTGGATCCGATGGTCTCACACTCCTTTGCACCGCCGGTAATGGACGCCGAAGAATGTGCGTGTCGGAGATACAGTTATGGACAACTGCTCGCGTGACCAGTACAGTATAATCGAGTCTATACTGACTTGTCCACGGAAACTGGTTAACTCTAGATATAACCGGCAGCGATCCTGAGTCTTGCTGGCAGTGTATGTCCATCGTGTACAGTATAGAACAAGTTTGTACGTACATGAAACGTAGTGTATGCGTGAGACGTATGGCGATTCCTGTTGAGGAGATTCCTAAAACCTCGAGAATCTTGGAGGGTATGGATTGAACAGCTAGGCTCAGGCCTGCTCTGGCAATTTCCCGACCGTCATGCTCATCGGGACATGTGTATAACAGGCTTCAGGATTATACGGCTACGCACGAGAGGATAATCTTCTCCCGGTCCTTCTATCTGTGGCATTGTGGGCTCTGTCGCGGTGGAATTCTGGCTGCGATTGAGTGGGGCCCATGATTGCCTTAGCGCAGGCTGCGTTCGTCATCGCCACGAGTTTCGTTTCCGTCCTTCCATCGGATCGAATCATGCTCGACCGGTAAATGCGTATTTTAGCCTGTGAAATGACAACATCTCTTGCTGGCATTGAGTCCATTGCGAACGAGAGGACTAGGCAGAGATCTGTATGCAGCTTTGAATGCCATTTGAGCAATCGTGGTTAGGGCTTTCTTTCGATCGCAGATGAGCGCCGAAGGGCCAAATGATGAGAAATATTCATTTGATTCCGTATGTTCATGCAAGTTTTCTGAACTTTGGAATTTACACGCAATCCAGATGTTTCAGCGACTTAACAAAGTCGCTGAAACCTATGGAGAATCTCCCGGCACCAAGTGTGCTTCTCAGAGAAACACAAGCTGCCAGAACTGTGTCGTGAAGTATTCAAAAATATTTCCCCTGAATGCCCTTCAAGGACATCCTCAAGACCATGTGATGTCTTTCCACATTTTTCGGTTTCGATTTGGTCTCGATGAGGCTAAACGTTTAGCCCGGCCCTTAATGCATGACCGTAGTGTCCCTAGCAAATTGAAGGGTCGCACAGGACTTGCTACTTCGCACCTTGAGTCCAAACTTTTTGCGGGAGATATCAAAACCACATAATGCACGTTAGCAGACACGTGCTACTTGATTGTGGCGATTTCTTCACGGGTCGAAACTGGTTGGTTTGGATTCTACCTGTCAAATGCTGTAACATTCCGATTGTATCAGAGCCTTCCTTATTTGTGATTTTCCAGTATACGCCTAGTCGTTACCTGCCGACCATCCTTCCTTTATCTGTATAAACTGCCCACTCTTTCAAAGCTGATAGATTGACCATTTATGGTCTGGACCAACTCCCAAGGGGCAATATGGGCACCGAAACCTCTGTACCAACAACACCGACCAAAAGATGTTATTTGGAAACCCTAAATTGGTATCTCGTAGTAGAACAATGAGCCAACGAGGAAGAGGCTATGGGTAATTGGGTCAAGGTTGACAAATTGATTGCAATAAGGCAGACAAATACTCTTTGGTTATCTTTTGATGCACATCTCGCACCCAACGCAGATTTACGTATGAGATGTAGGTCAATGTTCAGCTCAATGAACTAAGCAATGAGACATACTAGACGAAGAGAATGAACTGCAATGATAGTTTTAAGTGCGCTGTACAGAAACGTCCAAGAGCTGTGTGCTCTTGGCAGCTGCATCTGACATGAAGAAAAAAGTTTTTCACAGAAGGCTTGTACGCCAGTAATAAAACGTATCGTTGTTCAGGATGCAAGGGTGCCAATGCTTTTGACACGGATTTGCTCAAAACGACAAAGCCTCTGGTCACCGCGCGAATCACATTTCTGTGGAGGTGATTTTGATGCCGGTGCCGGGTAGAAGACATGATGAGAATTGCTGATTTCAACGTGCTATAACGAAGAGGCAAGAATGGACCGAGGTGACATTGATTTGGAGGACGTTATCAAAGAGGTAATAGACATCAACAGCTTCTTACCTTATTTTCGCATTTAACCTCACATGTTTCAATCTTCGTTTCGAGAAGAATTAACGAGAAGAGAGACGCTCGGATAAAAAGGCACGACGAAGCCACTTTGACTGTGGTACAAAGCAAAAGTCAAAGCAGTCAAGAAAGACCCAACCCGCAGTCCAAAAAGAAAACTAGAGAGTTCATTTTTCTTGTGACGTTTTACTATATGTCCAAGAGCAGAAATCATCAGATAGTGACTTGTGTGCTGGGGGTGAACTATGTTCTGTACTGTCAATTACACTGAATAAGAAGTACATATTATGATCTCATGAACGGTCTAGCATATCTACAGCTCCCACTTTATGAGCAGAAAGCTGTTGTTGACATTTTTATATTCCTACTTAGTTTCTGAATTACTTGAGGTCGTTCATTTTCTCACCGTTTAGCACCGGAGAGACGCGGGAAGGAGTGGAGAGGAGATCGAGCGTCTTACCGTGGATGATAGTCTGAGTGATCTTGATCGGACCAAACTTTTCCTTTCTCCAGGTGCTCATCAGGTATTTGTTAACGAACTTAGTGCTTCCCTAAAATTATCATACTTCGGACTTTGTCGTTCCGCATTAGAAAACGAACGATTAATATGGTCCTTTGTATTTGCTTCTGCAGTAATGTGGCACGTACAACCGCATACGAGTTGAGCTCTGCAACCTCATGGCTGTTTGAATGTAGATGTATGTGCAATTTTGCAGAAGAGATATGCTCATTGGCCCTTACAGACCCACCCATGGATTAAACAAAACCAGCTTTTTGTTGTTTCTACAGTTGCAACAGAACTGTGCCTTGGAAAGACTCCCTAAGGTGTTTCAAGAGTATAAACAAGCAGCTTATCGTGCATTGTTCCCTGGGTTCACGACTTGGATAGAGAGCTACAATTCCCAGTCTCAGGTAAGACAAGAACTTGTGGCTTTGAAATCTTTTCAGTAGTTTACGAGGTTTTCGCTTCGTATGTTCAAAGGTCTCTCATCCAAGTGCTGCTATTCCCATCGGGGAGTTTGAAACATCCTATTTATTTGCTTGCCTGTATAAGCATGCCTGTGAAACTTTGAAGAACGCATACATATGGACAATTTGCTTGCGACCTTCATAAAATGCAGTGTCTATATCGGAAGATGACAGGTTGCTGCAGGAGAGGCATTCATGGCTATATTGAAAGACACGTCCTTACCAAAAGAGGTTAGTCTTACGTATTATTTTCAATTCTTCATGGTAAGCATTGTATTTAATAATGTTGTATCGATGATATGACATCCTTCCTACAACGCCTTCAATCTGCAGAAGGACGAGAAACTAAACTCTATACAGAGCTTCCTTTTAAAGGACCTAGTTGTGAAATATGTCCCTGTCTAATTTTTTATCCAATGCTAGCAGATTATATGAATGTACCATCTCTTTTGAGTTTGTGCGATGCTGTCCCCTGAGATTTTAACTGGCTACATATCTGCTTCACCTTATCCTGATATTGAAACTGAAGTAATTTCTGTTTCACATGAACTTTGTTGTTATAAACGAATTTTGCTGCAGACACCAGCGTAAGCAGTTCACATTGTTTCGTACTTGAATACAAGACAGCTAGGATCTTGGATCGGATGCCTCATTCATTCATATCGAATGTCTACGTTTAACAGGTGGGGTTGTGGCTACTTCCAACGACATTATCTATGCTAAGCACAAACCGAAATCAAGACGTTGCACGAGTATGGTTGAAGTGTCTTTGCGGCATTGTTCCTACATTACCTCGGAAGGTAGCTTTCATATGTTTTAAATTAAGTGATTATCTTTTATCAAGAACAAGGATGTACAAAATGCAGGCATATACGATGCCGTTTTGTGTATGTTTCTGTAGTAGAGCCTGGTGATTCCTTGAACAAGGATATACACTATCCGTGTCCATGCTGCTGAAAACTCTGTCTTACACAGGATACTCCTATGTTGCCTGCGATGCGTTTACTCGTTGGTTTAACGTTTTCTTCGTCCAAAGCAACGGTTGCACTATTTTTCACTTTCAGCCAAACGCGCTGTAGAATACCAATCAACCTTCTGCTCCCTTAATACTTTTTCAGAAACTTGTATGCTTCCTATCACTCAAGTTCTCTGCAGAAAATTCACTGGTTCTTGTTAGTTCTTATTGACGTTCCCATTTAGTCAAACCGTAGGAGAAATGTCGGGTTGCAAATTCTACACGCTCTGTACGGCAATATAGGACGATCAACACAGACTTTAGTATTATTTAAGAGCCTGTTTTCATGATCTTTTGCCATGCGATCATCGCAAGAGCTTCTGTGATTTTTCTCCCTCCCAGCTTCTGACCGGTCAATGAGGAATCATCGATAAATCGATACTGAGTTATCTCTGCGACAAATATTCTTGAGTAGCAGAGTAAACGGATCGGTAGAGTGTCGATATTTTTTGTTTCTAAGATAAACAGACACGAGCAGATGGAGAGGGGTCAAATACCAAAAAATGTTTTGTCTGCGATAATCGCAAACCCTCGGTAGCATGGAATCTACTATTAAGTTTGAACGTAATGATGTAAAGCTTTCCAAAGTAGGTATTACATTTAATTTATCTACTATTTTCTCCGCTTATATCTAACAGGTTGTTTTCGACGAGCTTATGCATATAGCTCTGTCTAAAGGAGAATCCCAGCAAAGTGTACAGGCGCGCACCGCCTGTTGTGCCATTCTTGGGTCCATCGCACCCCTGCTAAAGCGCGAAGAAATTGAGAAATATTTCTTACAGAAAGCTATGGGTCTCTGTCAGGTATCCTACTCACTGTGGAATCAAAGGGAGTAAGTGCAGATAAAAGAAAATTAGCATTTGAAACAGCAAGGTATTCTCATTAAGACGAATTTAACAAATGAGTCTTCTGATCGACAAGCTCCTTCTTAGCAACCTGTTTCCCTTTTTACAGTTGTTCTTGAAACTTGAATTCGCTCAATTTTTTAGGACGCTAGAGATTTGAGATGGGGTTTGTTTCTATTACTTCGTGTCAGAAACATGGACGAGATATCTGAAGCTACTTACAGTTCATTCGTTGTAGACAATCTTGCATATAGATAGTCTTGGTAGAGGATGTAGATTGGCTCTTGAGCAGTTTTTGCATGATATGTCAAGGTAGGCAGGTCAGAGCAGCCAAAGGAGCTACTCATGCTCATTCTTTCTACTTTAGTCTTTTTCAAAACCTTTCTCATCAACAATTTGAACTCCAGGACACAGACTTGGAAGTTCGAGTGTGTATGTGCGAGCAGTTGAACCACATAGCGCGTGCTGTTGGGCTTGACACAACGAAGGTACTATATCTTATCCTCTTCTTTTTCCTTCTTACATCAAGTAAAGGTATTTCGTTTTTCATCTGTAGGATGTGCTAGTTTCCTAGGAAGAAAATCAAAGCATTTCAAAGTGAGCACATGATATGGGCAAGGAAATGTCGGATTATCAAGACGTAGCTGCTCATTTACTGGTAAAAGTCACAGAAACAGTATGTTTGCAGGAGAAAGTCTTACCGGAGTTATATGAGCTGCTCAGAGATGAAGAATTGACCGTACAAAATGCAGCCTTTGCAAGCCTGGTGCAGATGCTCGACTACTTGCCCCCTGAGATCCGACAGACTAAGATCATGCCTTTTCTCCGTTTGTGCGCTCCTGAACTTACAGAACTCATTCTAGCAGCAGAGCTTAAAATTCATTCGAACTCAAAAAATTTAGAGCTATTTCCTTGAACTGTGTACTTCTCCCAGATGACAATTTTTTCCCTCACCACAACAGCACCTTTAAGCAGCTCATCCTCGTCACAAAAGTATATGGACGAATACACCATCGGATATTATTCCTGAAACCTTACGACCTAGTACTCTATTATGAGTAGACTCAAGTAAAGAATCAGTTTCATCCTTTTGGCAAAGCTTTTCAAGGCCATCAACATCTACGAGAGTAAACTAGTTTCATGACCACATATTTTTTAGGCTGATTGTTAGGGAGGAGAGCAATGCCCACTAAAACGCTGCGAGGTTAGTTGTTTTCGAGAAACGAATGCCTTCTTGACTTGTGACTTTATGATATGCCGAGGTTTGTGCAGGTTCTGTCCTCCAAATGAATCGTGCTTGTTGATCACACTACCACGTCTCATAGGAGAACTTATGTGTAAGGCAAGCATATATGCTCTCCCTTCTTCTAGAATTCCTGGTAATGCAGTATTCGTTGATATCTGCCAGTCGTAGCTTGAATATAACAGACTCTGCGTTCTGGCTAAGCGTTGCTAATCGTCACAGACTGGGAGGTATGATGATCTGTAGAGGAATGCTGAAGAGACAACATTATCTGAGAGTGAGTAGGATATTCTTGGGTATGTTTGTAACTCAAGAAAGATATGGAATTGCCTATTTTGGGATACTGAAGCAGATGGTCTTCGATCTCACCGATGATGAGTTTCAACCTTTGATGGAAGCGTACAAAACATATGCCCGTCATTCAAGTGAAGAAGTGCGCAAGGTGTGTCATTCCGGGTAGATTGCTACTCATTAAGTACTTACGAACGGAGGTCATTAGTAGGGCATCAATTGGACCACAAATTGGGGATATGAAAACTTAACTTTCGTCTACCAATTTTCAAGACTCAGTTTTCCAATGTATTATACGCATCTGCTGCTCAGCTTGATCAATCCCCTTGAATCTGACTCAGAATCGGTTGCCTTTTTCAGCTGTGTGCTTCCAACTTTCCTGCTGTGCTGAAGGCTATCGGAGCTCGAAAATATGCTTTGAGCCTGCATGTTTTGTATCAACAGCTTGTTCAGGATGCATCGTCTTCCGTTCGCGCTGCATGTGCTACTTCGTTTAATGAGGTTTGTTTTCTCTCTGCTGGTTATGATTGGTAACTGATTTTCACTACAACTTCCTGTGAAAGTTGTAGTGAAAATCTGTGAAGTTGTCTGGACCCACTTGCACTGGTTTGTTATTCGATGACTATAACAGCATTCCTTTTTAAGAATACTGTCAGGTACATGTGCTTGAAACTTTGTTGCGTCTTGTTCGTGTTCATACAAGGTTGCAAAGTTGCTTGGTAAGAAGAGGACATCTTCTTATCTTAAGGATCCGCTCGTGTTGCTGCTCGAAGATTCATCACATGATGTGCTGAAATCAATATTGGAAGACCTCCACCTTATTTTAGGTTTTGAACAATCCTAATTCCTTTACAGCAAATGCTAGGTCATAAAGGTACATAATGGGGGAATCAGGCACGGTTGCCATCCAAGCTCTTCCGTGAACTTTCATGAACGATCACACAAGTATTTACCACGAAATTTTATTTTACTAGTATGGTGAAAATGTCTGTTGTTCCTTATCGTAGATGTTTTAGATACACTGAAGTGTAATTTTTGTGTCAAAGAAGCTTTTTCACTACTTCTCTCATCACAGTCTACCCTTAACATCTTGGGCACGGCAAGAACTGGACATCAAGCCTCAAGAAGGTTGGCATTGTCAAATCAAGTGCGAAGGCCTAAACTGTTAATCTCGGTTTGACTCCAGGCCATTTTGCAGTGGGGACACCACAGCAGAAGGCAGCGACGTTTGGAGGATTGATGCCTTCGTTATTGCTAGCGGAGAAGTCAGCCAGCACTGGAAGACAGTGGCGCCTACAACTCTGTCTCCTCCGTGCATTTGCTGAGATGCCAGTTTGTATTTCTTGTTAACCACCGATTCGGTGTGAGTCGGTCTGAAATATGTACATCTTCAAGCAAGTTCAAGTTTTGATTGTGTTCTGTAGGATGGAGGACATGTATTACGGGATACAACTCAAGCCTCTCAAGAATGAGTAAAATGACTGTACCTAAAGGCTACCACTAAATCACGTGCTTAATACTCACCTTATGTCTCATCATGATGACACCAGTTGGCAAGAGGTGTGAGAAAGAAAAATATTGATTCTTTTGAGCCCCAACTGAGAATGACAAAACACTCTTATTCATTTCGGGATGTTTAGTGAGTCATATTGGAATCTCTGAAAATGTGTTTCCTTGAAATCGACAGGAATACTTTACAAGTGATCAGATCTTCGAAAATTTTGTACCCATATGCTTTTGCTACATGACAGATGGGGTGATGCCTGTAAAAGCTGCAGCTACTATGGCACTTGCGAATTTTATCCGGTAATTTGCCTTGTCGGTGCATTGCTTTCACTTCTACTCTTGGCCATAAAACCCGGTGCAAGCTGGTTCTCTGCAGGTTGTACTCTTTTATTGACCAGCATAAGACCTAATGCACTCAGCTGAAGTGCTCGTCGCTCATTCAACCCTTAGTGCCGAAGCCTGCGTTTCCTGTGAGGAACCTCGTCCAAAGTTATATTATATATTTTCACTCCAGATAAAAGAAACACAAGGCCAGACTCGAGGATCTACTGCTCAATGTAACAGGATATTCGATTGTAGATGTGGTGCCTGACTGACCTTATCTGTGATGAAAGTTCCTGGCCCGTTACATGTGATTAGTCTATACCGCACGTACCCGCAATAGGAATTTGCTCACCTGTGAGATATGTTCTCCTCTGTTGAAATGTCACGGGTTAAGCGAGTGTTGGGTTCCTACACAGCCTCGTCTACAGCACACTTATTATACACCTTTTCGTTTAACGTGTTAGATATCTGGAGTGTTTGGGAGTAGTTTTCGGGGTTATGAGGGTCAAAGTTCATACTGCCTCCACGCAGGCGGGGAAACTCATACGGAGAGATCTCTGAGGAGTGAAGTTGTGCCGCATGTTTATCTCTCGTTTTCTTAATACTTCTCTTTCTCTTAAGCGCTGCTCACAACTGCTGGGGGAATAGGTGAGGCGTGCAGCGCGATGGTAATGTCTTGACATTACGTGGGATGCTTTACTGTATACATGGTTATCCTTGCATGGTATAATAAAGTGAAAAAATTAATTTTGTGCAGTGATGACTCTATTGTAGACATAATGAGTTCTACCCAACTCCCCTGTGAAGTCTGCCGGTATGATTAATCTGTGGATGGGATTACTGCAGGAACAATCGAAAAGCATCCCAACGCTATGAGCTATCAACACGTGTCGTTAAGGAGTATGCTCATGGGCGGAGCTACTGGTCGAGGATGGTGTTTATCGAGTTCTGTGAGAATATGCTGAAGTATAGTCCGAAAGTCCATCGCTGAATCCTATTTCAGTATCGTATAGGTCCCAATTCTTCGGACATGTGTGCCCACGAGTAACCTGAAATTTCTGTATTTCAATTGCTTTGTTGAAGACCATGCATATCGTGCGAAACCTCCCCTCTTTCTAACTGTCAAATGCCATACAACGTTCTCTGTTGCTGTACAGAGTTTCGAGTTCTCGTATGTTCAAAGACGTCTTTCTTGATCCAGCCATCTCCTCTCTCCAGGTTAGTGAAGGCTTTTACCACGAGACTTGGGGATCTTGAGCTTTATTGGAAGGTTAGGACAATAAGACCTGTGGATGGTGATTCCTTTATCACCCAGTCCTTTCTGAAGAGAAAACGGAGTCGGAAAATCCCATTTGTGTCTATGTATATCATGAGTTGTTCTTGGTGTACGTGCAACTCCGTATAAAACTTGTTTCTCTCAACAGCAAGAATCCTATGCTTCAAACGAGCAATTCTGTGGCTACTAAGACTTACGTAAGTTAGCGTTTAAGGTCTGATTGTGTATTATTGGAATGAATCTCTTCAATCCGAAGCATTCGATGTGCAAGATGATGACATCGCAGTTTTATCAGTATTTGTCCTGTTGTTTCCTATTCCCCAAACATTGTATCTTGAGATATGGTAAAAGCCTCACCCTCGAGGAACAAGTGGAAGTGATCCAGAGGTCGATTTTGACAAAGTCCTTATCAAACGCTCGCTATTTTAAACGATGCAGACCAAGTTAATCAAATTTATTAGTGCAATTACTCTAATCATTCCCTAATTTCTGCTACTTTTGCGTCTAGTGCTGGGGTCGCGCTTGAACAACATTCAGTGACCCGGGAATCAGCTTCTAGATTTGGAATCATCCAAGATACGCCTTCGATTCCACATCAGAATCCTTGTCTAATGAATGATTATAACAGGATCCAGTGCCAAGTGTTCGGATGCGAGCATGTCTGCTGCTACCACACCTTAAGCATGCCATAAAGCTGCCAGAAGATGTGGGCGTTCTGGAGAAAATCAATCACCTTACAACGCAACGACTGAATGATAACGTGAAAGAGGTTTCAGCAGCCGCTCAGCGTGTTGCTGATGGTTTCAAGCACAGTTTGCGCAATGCATACAATGATCGCGAAGTTGCAAGCGATCATGCCATATCCCAGGTATACTTCAAGTTGTCCTGTATATTTCTCAAATTGCAGAGCAAGATAGAAACTCCAGCAACGCTCTTCTGAAGATGTGGAGTTTTGCTGAGCTCTCGATCCTTTCTTAGTTTGATGGAATCTCAATTCGGAGGACACTCAAGAAAGTCCAACACCGGCGCCTGTCATCGGCTTTGGAAGGAATATATGCAGCAATCACTTCTGCAATCTGATTCGTGATTTTTGCCGTCCCCTGTGTGACACTCATCTTGCAAGAGTAAGCTTGTGAAAGTTTGTGTTGTGGTTCCAGGAAGAGATTGAGAGGATTGATAAGCAACGTGAGGATGAAGAGTGGAACATTCTGAGCAAAGAGGAGCAGGTACCAGATCAATTCATGAAAGAGGGTAGCATGCAGCTTCTTTGCTGATGAGCTCATGCATAAGTTAGTCACACATGTCTGGAGAGATTTTTACGTTCTGGAAATACAACCTGTCAGGTGAGTATGCAAGGCCACTTTGCGTGGGTTTTAATGCGGGGTCGTCTCTTACTGAAGGACGAAAAGAAGAAGATCGATGATATGCTCCAACGCCTCAAACTCGAAGCGGCGAGCAAGAAGGGCAGTATTGCTTCGGCAAACACCATTCAGTCACTGTCGTCTTCTCCGCAGGACTCGGGTCGCCTTTCTAAGAGCATAGGATCAGTTAGAACAAGCGTAAGCAATGGGTCAAGAGTAAGCATCAGTTCAGCGTCTTCTCGTGCAGGATCTATGGACACTGTCAGGAAGGTGTCATCAAGTTCTCCAGTTCCATCAAGCCAGATTGCGCCACCTGGACTTTCATCCAAACGCAGTAGCGGCCAGTCCAGCATGGTAACACCGGGAGGTAAAGCAGGCACCAGGGTTTCCTTAGGGTCTGGAAACCAAACAGCAGGTTCTGCAAGGCCTGCCTCGCCTGCGGTTAACCTGAGGCCGCAAACTCCTTCACCTATTCAAGATGCGAGTGATCCGTCAGCTTCCAGCCCGAGTGTGATATTAAGGAAGAACTCGAAGACAATAGCCAGCAGAAGAACATCATCGTAGAATGGCTCATGGAATCAAGGCCAGACAATATTGTTGACTCATGATCATAGCTAGAGTCTTGTGTTGGCAACCTGATCTAATTTTGCTAGAAGCCGAAATGAGTTGGATCAAGTTCCGTTATCTGTACAGGCTCACTGAGACGAAAATTGAAATGGGCGTTTTGATGAAGTAAGGAAATGTAAATCTAAGGTTTAGAAGTACAGTCAGAAAGGTTGTACATTCTCGTGCCATTACATTGAGTATAAAAAGGAAGAAAGTAACGGTGAATATGTTCCAATCGTCTGTCATCGTTGTTGTTTCCGCAGCATGCACAACAGTCTGTAACGGTCGCAATGATCTGACCGTCGAAGAAGTAAGAAAATGAATTTCTTCATATTCATGAGAGGAAAGGAGATATTACTAATTATAACCCGGCTGACCTCAAAGCTGAAGTGCTGTAATCGGACTTGAAGTAGGAAAGGAAAGCGTGTCGAAGCCAAAAATGCCTAGGCTACGATCATGACAGAGTAAGTGTAGCATTTTCTCATGAGAGGGGCTAGTTATCCCTCAGTGTGGGCTAATTATCCCTCACCCTACTTCTCCCCTTCCACTCTCTGCAATCACAGAGCTCTGTTCTGTATAGTATAGTAGGGGATAATTAGCCCACACTGAGGGATAACTAGCCCCTCCCTTTCTGTTCTGTATAGTATAGTAGGGGATACTTTCTGTTCTGTATAGTATAGTAGGGGATAATTAGCCCACACTGAGGGATAACTAGCCCCTCCCTTTCTCATTAGGCAAACAAATCTGAGTTATCAAAAGAGTTTTAAAATTTACAAAAACAATAGAACTGTAGTACCTACCGAGTAGAGTCATCATAGAACTGGTGTGTCAGATATGGATTTGTTTCGTTTGGAAGTACCAAGTTCGATCGTCTGAAATTATGAGCTTATGCAGCGGATAAAAATATAGTGTGGTAACATAAATGAGAAACTCTCTGTGTTTAAACCAATTAGAACAATATCGGGCGAGAAAAATTTGCACATGACATCACTTGTTAGAGAAAGGTGATGGAAGGATATGATCCTTCATTCCGCATGACATTCCTGTTTTATTTCTAATGGTGGCAGAATCAAGATTTGTTGAAAAAAATTGTCAATATACATGTCATCGGATGACCCTGTTTGTCGCCCTTTCAAAGCAAGTTTGTAGATCTGATTTAATCGTATCATTTTAGGAAGTGTGCGTTGCTGTAGTAATACTTACACGTAGCAGCGTAAGCATGTGTTCAATTTTCTCATCGATCGAAGATCGAAGACACTCACATAAAAGTATGTTTAAATTTCTTCCTGTATACTCAATGTAAGGTCGGGAGCGGTTATTGAACTAATCAATCAACATCAATTGAGGAGATGCCTCTGCTCGCAATGATCCAACGATGAGAATACAAATTAAGACGCATAAAACATAATTTTTCTTGTGAGCGCCTCTGCTGAACGTATGGTTCCAGACTAGCGCAAGTAGTATTAGATGATGGAACAGGAGGCACACAAAAAAGCCAATGACGACACTCTCCTTCGACACCTGAGTCGTTAACATAATTTGAAGCACCTACCAAAGAACCTTTTGAGTGTCAGTCGAAGTGCGAGGTCACGACTAGTGTCCCGAAGGGTGATTCTCGATCACGAGGGAGTCGAGGTGACGAAGATATTTGACAATCCCGTCCAAAGAGGAGTACAGTAGCTAACGGAGGCTCTTCAGGTGTCGACCGCCGAAGATAATAGGCTAATGCTGAAGGTCTCAAACCACCTCCTGAAGCCATCTCATATCGCCCAGTGATGAAAGAGAACAATCGGATTCTTGTCTTCTTCTAGCTAAGCATGTTGAATCCAACGTACTATATTGTTGGAGGCAAGAGGAAGATGACTATACAGAAGTACTTCAGCTCATCATCGATAGTGCTACACTGACTTTACATGATAAGGCTGACATGATAAACCCATTCATCGCAATCGCGTTATGACTGGAGCAGTAAAAGTGTGTACAAATGCAAGAAGTCAAATCAAGAAAGATTATAGAGTAATAACTTCATGGGGTGGCATAGATAGAGATTCAACTTAGAGAGAAAGTTAAAAAGGGTTGTAGCAGAGATTGCGATGGTGTGATGCAATCGAAGTGAAAGCAGTCTGGCCACCTAAAGAATCTTGTGAAATCTTCTGTATTACAAAGAAGCGCCAGAAGCGGATTGACGTGATTTACGACTTTTTGAGCTTCACGGAACTTCACATAACTTGAGGAAAGTCCATCATCGTACTTAAAACGTGCTTAATTACCTACGGTAGCTAGTAGTCTCCAATTGTTGAATGCGCTTCTGTCGGCTCTCATTCACAACCGCTTCCACATCGCTCTCGCACAACAAATCCCTAGCTCGTTCGGATATTTCCCCTGTGTACCCTCTAATCGAGGGCCAAGAGTGCTCATATTTGAACACCTCTTCCTTCTCCAGCATGTGCGAACTTTCCAACGGAATATACTCCAGTTTGTCATTGATGCTACTAATGATTTTTGATTTGAGCTCCTCAATCAGAATGACTCCTCTGAGATGGATTGGAACCAGCATCTCTACGCAAAATGTCTGGATCACACCTAGCACTAACGCCACCCCGGGACAGCCTCTGGGTGATGCGCAAAATGATATCAACTCATGGACTACGTGATTCATCAAATATTGGATAGCTACCTCCTTTGACTTATGCTTTGAGCATAACATCAGAACATCTACGTATCTATGCGACTTTTCACTATGCACTTGCTCCACAAAAATCTGATGTCCATCAAGTAAGAGTCGAAGATAATGTGGAGAGTAGATCACATCCTCCTTGGAAACTTGCTTCTCGGATATCAACTTGCGTCTCATCAACATCTACAATGATAGAAAATATGGTAAGTATTGAGTTGGACTTTTCAATTATTTTGATTTCATGAATGAAAAGGAAACGTTCTATTTATCTAACGCAAATTACAAATTAGAACCTGTCCGTATTCAATATTTTCAGTGTATCATGATTCAACCTCACCTGGAACTGTGGAAAAATAGCAGGAGTCAATGACATTGTTCTTCCATCTTGGCATTGAATCCGAATGCCGACATACTGTGAAGTCTCACACTTGTTTTTCCAATACATCACATGTTTCTGGTCTTCTGTGCTTGCATGATCACGTATGAAAGAAGGAATGAAATATTGAAAAGTATCTTCCAGCTTGAAACAAAAATCTAAATTGATAAGGATGTTTTCAATCAGCTCTCTGTCCACATTTTGTAAGGTTGTATGCTTTCCCAAAAACTCTTCTATCAATCGAGCAAAAACACTGTAACTCACAAATCCATCCTTGCTTGTGTATGAGTCACGTGACACTGTATTCTCAGAAGACTCGAACTCTTGAGGTTGAAAGACTTGATCCAAAGATACCAGCTCATCCAATAATGTATTGATGAGCCAGTTTGGATCGACTATGATGTAATCAAGGTTTGGGATAAAAACAATGTATCCGACATCATTCAAATAGGATATGATTGCTTTCATTATCCTTGAATGATCACTGGCATGAGCAGAAGAAGATGGAATGAACTGTGTCAAGCTAGGAGCACAAAAATCATAAAACTTTCTAGATGGCCAAAGAGGGGAACTTTTGTTATTATTGGTATTTGTAACCAAAAGGGAGGTGAGTTGAGAACACAATAGGGGAACATGTGGAGATTGTTCACTCAATAATTTTTTGAATATATCAAAAATGTGATTTTTGAGATGAATCACTTGTTTTTTCTTCCCAAGATCATAAAAGCACTCATGAAGAGGGTGAAGATCGACAAAATTTGAGAATCTTTCGCTGAGTTCTTCCACTATGGAGTGAGCCCAAGTCAAAGACTTAGACATAGATTTATCCTTGTGTGAAATCACAACAAGAACTTGTGGAAGATTATGTCCTGTGACTTTAGTGCTGGATGTGATGAAACACAACCAGTCCTCCAACTCATATTTTAAACAAGATTTTGATTTGCAGAACGAACTATAAACAAAAAGAAAAACACAAGAATTGTTGGTTGGAGGTAAGAGGAAATTGGGAGGGGTACGCAAATTTCCTTGTCTCGCAAAATCCGAAAGTGAGACTTGTATATTTTGCAAGAAGTCCAGGTCAGTGTCATCAGTCCTCCAAAATGACTCCCATTTCTCCCGAAGCAAACTCTTGCGTTGAACTATACTCGTCACCCTTTGACGTAATGTAGTCTTGCCGGCTGATTGAATGAAAAGAATCACAACACATACAACTCATTGCTTAAGGAATCTTTACAAATGCTTTGATATTATGTTCTTGTAGAAAAAATGTGAAGATAAATTTGTTTCGGGAAACTTTCTAATTTCACTAAAAAATTTAAATTGATTTAAAAAAATGTTATATCTTAAATACAATTGGCTTCTGATTTAACTCTCTTCTTTATATGTTTTAAATTTAAGAAATTTATCAATGTATCTAGATAAAAAACTAAAATTTATAATTTCAATCTCAATTATAGAAAAGTAGAACATTAGATGGCTAGTTTGCATACACAAAATGAAATGAAAGTTTACCGTGCGTGTTACCCTCTCTAGGAAAGCCGCATGAGAAGAGTCGACCAGCTTTTGCAGGTCCGAATGTTAAGTTGGCTTCTCTGAAGACGGACATGTACACAGCCCGCTTCTGGTTTTGCTTGAGTGTATCTTGAATCTGCGCCGCCTTCCCGTCCCTTGCCCAGGAGGTTCCTGAGACATCTATCTCCTCGAGATTCAAATTTACTTGCAAGAGCCCCATCAAGTCCCTGAACGCCTCTCGGTCGAGATCGGAGCGAGACAAATCCAAGTGAGTGAGATTTGTGTTCCCTCGCAAGCACCAGAGCAAGTCCTTCCATACTCCCTTCACAAGCTCTTTGCTTTGTATAAATAACTTCAGTCTCTTCAGGACTGTAGTTTCTCCAGAATATCCATCCATGGGGATGATATTTTCCATTCTACGTTGGTAATTGCCAGAAGGGCAAGAGCATTTTAAAAATAGAATGAAATGTTTTAGAGATTTGATCTCCCCACGCAATACCCTACCCACAAAGTCGAGTGCTGACATCAGTGCATCGTAGTCGCAAAATGTGATTTGAAGCTCCACTGTTGGATCCTTGACATTTGAGCTAGCAGCACACACAAGCTGTTCTACTCCCTCCAAGTTATCCCCGGAACGTATTGATTTAGTTACACAAATAGTTGTTGCTGTAGCGTTTTCGCGTATGGCCTGGCCTAGCTGGCGCCATCTATCGGGACTCATGTAGATGGCGCTCAACTTCACTTCCTTCAAGAATGGGTTGGAACTCAGAAGTTCTCGTAGACAGTCTCCGAGTCCCGACACTGAAATTAGATGAAGACATTCAATAGCTCGATTGCCATCATCTCCATCCAATGCATTCAGCAAGAAGGCCGAAGTCTCGCCCTTCACCTCATTTAGAACCAATTTTCTCACAGACGAGCTCTGAATTAAAGCCTGCGACAGGATTCTAGCGGCCTCCTCATCCATGTCGTACATGCGGTCCCATGACCCCCCTATTTCCAAAGTTTCTAATCGAGTAGCACTGTTGATCATGTCAGCCACCTGCTTCACCGCACTCGTGTCCTCCCACGCGTTATGTAGCACTAAAGACTTAAGCATAGACTGGGAATTTCCATGCAGTCCTGATGCGAGGTTCAACAAACATCTGGTACTCAATCTGCAACTGCCTATTGTCAGATCTGTTACGCTAGACGTATTCAGAATTCTCCCCACCTGTAAACAAAAGCTCTCCACTTCCGCAATTGAGGTCCATGTCAATCCTTCAACTCTGATCACTCGTAGAACGGTACCACACCTAAAACCTCCCAATACTACCTCCCACTCGCTAGCCGTCAACCTCGATATATCTCCGCCACAAATATCTTGTACATCCAGAGAATGAAACTTGTTGCATCTGCCGATTGCCTCCAGCACTCGAAGGCGCACTTGGCTTCGCCACCCTGTGATCGTCGAAATCAATTCACCATCCGGAAAGAAATCCCGAAATTCTGCCCGGTTTAAATTGGGAAGCCACCGTAAAACCTTGGCTTTGCCTTCCAGACGCCGTATAAGGTCCTGGACAGCGGAGGGGAGCTCCGGATCCTCGTTTACGAAGTTCATTCCCCATGTCGCAAGTTCAACAACGTGATGGATGATGGACGCGACTGCACCCATTCTCTCCTCCCCTGTCGTTTGCTGCTTGGCATGCGGGGTCGAAACCGGGCCTCCAAGATGCTCTCTCCTCGATCCGCAAGCCCGGGTCACTCGAAGAAAATTAAAATTCCCGTCGCTGTGTCACGTATAGTGTGCATATGCTTGCTGGTCGTGAGACTTCTTGCGCGAATCGCGAATCTAGAGTAGCTACACAAAGAGGACTCCAAGCTCTACAGATACGCGCATCACGAGCAATGACCACGAACAGAGAGGACTCCAAGCTCTGCACATACGCGGATCACGAGCAATGACCACGAACTCAGCAGGATTATGCAAAGTGAAAGCAAGAGCCTGCTCGAACCCAGAGCATTGTACGACAAGCGATGTGAATCTAAATTAACGCTGGGGATACTGTCTTCGGCTTTAATCTCATGCTACGTAACTTGTAAAGTCACTGCAGAATCACGATATAAAGACGTGAAATCAGAGCATAACATGGAACAGACAACTGGTCCGATCAGCATTCCAAGATCACAGACTTCACTGCATGCAACCAATTGCTAGATAAACCTTGCACATCAAGTCACCTGAGAATTGGTCTGGATCTCCTTGCGAGCATTGTACGTATTTGCTTCCTCTTGAGATTGTCGCTAAACAAGACCTCTTCCAGGGCGATCAGTGTTCGAATGCGCGAGGCAGCTGATTTCAGTCACGACCTTTTGCGGACAACCAGCCGAGAACACAATTTTCGAACGGGCGAGACAGCAGCTTCCAGTCGAGAGCTTTGACGGTGAAAAGCAGCTGTCAGTCGACAGCATTCTTCGCTTTCGGCTCCGAGGCAAGCCTGCAAATCATCGGTACGTACAGCAGGGAGGGTCCCGAATCGCAGCCAGCTCGCTCAGAGAGACATCCCACCAAGAGGTGCTGAAGGTCACCCCACGTCAGCCGAGTCTGCGTCTCTGGGCAATGGGCGGAAATATGAGAGAGTGCTGCTGGCTGACACCGACCAACACTTGAGGCTTGCTTGAGGTGCATTTATGGTGACCCCGCTGGGAGACGAGAATCTTCGACTGCTGCCAGGACCAACCAGCTAGCCGAGCACTTGGGAAGAAATAGTCCAAGTGAGGAAGAAAAGCCGAGCCTGCCGGCCAACGCGCCCATTGGCCCATGAAGTGAGAAGAGGTTAGCTCGAGCGAGTGTCCCTAACCCGGAAATCTAGAGTGCTGAAGCTGACCCGACCAGCACTTACAGTCGAGAGAGAGAATATCTTCCCTTTCTGATCCTACTCCGAAACCTCCAACACTCCTACTCTTCAGCAGCAACAACATCATCATATCGGGGGTAAGAGTCACGTTGTGAACTCTGCGAGGAGGGGGTGCAATGTACTGTACCAGTTCCCAACACCGGGGAGGGAAATAACGTCAAGTGCTCTGTTACGCATCTCTACATATCCCAACTCAACACACAGTCTCCGGAACGATTGAAGGGTACAGCGATTTATTTGGTGGAGTTGTTCTATTGAACAAAAACCAAAAAAACAAAGTTTTTTTGTTGAAAACTTTTATTCATGAAGTTCGAACAAGGAAGTGATCACGAGCATGGTGATTACAATTGTTTAAGGTTACCTCTCAAGAGTTTTGGCGTGTGAGTTTTGGTATGAATACACCCAAACACCGAAACTCTTGATGCATTTTACTTTCAACTTTAACTATCCAACCGAAAATCAACTGATAACCCCAAGGATGATAACGTACTCTCTCAATCAACTGATAACCCCAGGTATGATTACTTAATCTCTCGTTCTTCCATCAATCATGTTGTATGAGAACGAAGTAATAATAGCGGGGCATGTTAACTGAAAAAATATCAAGCAGGTAAGGTATTGTAAAGTACTTGGCAAGTTCTCCTTTCCTTTTTGCGAAGTTACTGGGTTTCTTCGACTACTCGGTTTCTTCGTTGGAACAGTATGACGAATCTTCTTTGTAGGGCCCGAAGGCCTTGGATAATACAACCGTCCAAGTGTTCATTTGTGTACGCGTTAGAAACTTAACACGTTATGTTGACTGAAGTCTTGAAGTTGGAACTCATCCACTGCATTCACATGTTTCCTTAAAGCCCTCATTGCATGCATTGCTAATAATCTTTTTGTACGTGGAAAGTGTCTTGCACTCTCTCATGACTGTCTTTTTGTAGGACCTTTCACTGACAAGTACTATGCATAGGACAATGCCTTAACTGCAGAGTCAATCATATGAATCTTCTTTATGAACACGCACCTCGAGCCAACTCAAAGCTCACTTGAATATGTAAGCTCATAAGTCTAGTTCTTACTTAGGCTTCTTCAATGCACCTAGTGCCCACAAGAGGAAACTTGAACCTAGACAATTCAGGTAGTTCTGATGTTCTGCAAGTGCTACTAAGTTCCATAATCTCTCAGAGAATAAGCCCTAGGAGGTTGCTTTTGAGGTCCGATCTTTTAGTGATCTCCGAGTAAAAAAGGCGGTAGATTCGGGAACGGGTGAGTATTATCAAGCTGTTGTGGTTACAAGGAATAGGAAATTAGCAATATCGAAAACCAGAGATTAGCACGAGTGGGATATTCATGCGTGTGTGACACATGAACTAGTTCCTACCAAAGTGGAAGGAAATATCGTACCGAATGATTGTATTATCTGAAAAACGTAATATCGCCAAAATGTGTGATGACCGTCTCGATGTTTGTTTCACTGGAACGCGAAGTGTCTCTGGAAAGAATCAATCACCGTATGGACATAATTACAGGGTAGATTTTACAGTAGAAAAGATAATGGATGAACGGCAAAGAAAGCTGTCGGTTCTCGGGTCTCGCATCGATTTTAAATATATAGTTAAGTGGCAAGGATACACAAATACCATTTGTGAGCCTACTACACCAGTTGAGGACACAGCAACACTTGACGACTACTTAGAAGAGCGAGGAGGAATGTACATTTTTCGTGTAATCTCCTAGGACTGATATACGCGACTTTGATCATCAAGAATAATATGTTGTAAGATACATACTAAATGTTGTTACTGAAAAGAAAGCAACGTTAAGTGGTTGCTGTGATTAACATGTTAAATGCAGTGATGCACTTGACCTAAAATGAACCATCTGAATTAACACTATAAACTAATCGCAAAGCAGTATGGTTTAGGAGTATCATCCTAAACCACGTTGCTAATCTTTGCCTCGCTGAGACACTAACAGCGTCTTACAACACCCCCTCTCGAGAAGAAACATTATTGTCCAAAATGTATACTCAGAAGATGGCGAGAATGATCGTTGTTTGTATCTGCGTGGTCGTAGATGTGCTAGCCTTATGGTGTGGGGTCATTCAGGCGATCCTTGAGCAACTGTATTGGTGGGTGGCAAATAGTTTATCTGGAGACAGAGCTAGCAGCAATAAACCTTAACCTGCAGCACTTGCTTGTACTTCAGCTAATGAAAGTGATCCAATAAAATCTCTATGCTTCTCAAGAGGCTCTCGCAAGCCCGGCTTAGGCGAAGAAAACTGAACTTCCCGTCGCACTCTCACAACTCGTGTACACTTACTTGTTGATCATGAGACTTCTTACGCGATGCTAGAGGAGTGACAGAGAGATTACTCCAAGCTCTGCAGTTAACAATCACCAACGCAGTAAGAATGTACAAGGTGTAAGCAAGAGTATGCTCGAACTCAGAGCAGGGTAGGATAACCGATATGAATTGGAAATAACGCTGAGAACCAGATGCTGGTTTCAAGGGAGATAGTAGACCGCGTGCAAAGGGACTTCATACGTATCTCGTAAATCCAAACAAAGTGTATGCTCAAACGGAGAGAGGCGCAGTGTAGTGGTGACAGAGTTGATTGGACATACTTTCTTCATGTTACGTAACTTGTATAATCACTGTATAGTCACGGTAGAAAGACGTGAAATCAGAGCATGATATGGAACATGAAACTGGTCCGATCAGCATTCCAAAATCACATACTTCACTGAATGCAACAAATTGCCAAATAAAGCTTGCAGATGAAAATGCCAGATAAAGCATGGTGATTATATTTAATAACATGTACATACCCACACACAAACACAACTCTTGATGCATTTCACTTTACCTAACCATCCGAAAAGAACTGATAACCCCAAGTAAAAATCACTTACTCTCTTGTTCTTCCGTCAATCATCTTGGATGAGAACGAAGTATGAGAGCGAGGTGTGTTAACTAAAAAGAGTTCAAGCAGGTAAGGTAATGTAAAGTACTTGGCAAGTTCAAGAGTAAGTGATTTTTACTTGGGGTTATATAGAGATTCGTAAGTTCATGGGTCCTCTCGTGAGCACCAGGTGCAGTGAAAAAGACAAAGTAAGAACTAAGCCTATGAGGTTAAATGTTCAAGAAGAAGATGTTAAAGAAGAGGTAGGTGGCGTGATTCTGATTAACTCTTACGTCCTGTGATAGTACTTGTTAGTGAAAGGTCACACATACACGCTTGTTTCAGCAAAAAGGTTACTATCAATGCATGGAATGAGGGATGCAAGGGAACATGCTAACGCAATGGATGTGGACCACTGCAAGACTTCAGTCAATCTAATTTGATAAGTTTTTTACGCGTACACAAATGTACACCTGAACGGTACACCTGAACGGTACACCTGAACGGTTGTGACAAGGTCTCCCTTTGGCGATGTTACTGGGTTTCTTCGTTGGATAGTATGACGAATCTTCTTTGTTGGGCCCGAAGGCCTTGGATTATACAACCGTTCAGGTGTACATTTGTGTACGCGTAAAAAACTTATCAAATTATGTTGACTGAAGTCTTGCAGTGGTCCTCATCCATTGCGTTAGCATGTTCCCTTGCATCCCTCATTCCATGCATTGATAGTAACCTTTTTGCTGAAACAAGCGTGTATGTGTGACCTTTCACTAACAAGTACTATCACAGGACGTAAGAGTTAATCAGAATCACGCCACCTACCTCTTCTTTAACATCTTCTTCTTGAACATTTAACCTCATAGGCTTAGTTCTTACTTTGTCTTTTTCACTGCACCTGGTGCTCACGAGAGGACCCATGAACTTACGAATCTCTATATAATCTTTCATTGCACCAGGTGAGCACAAGAGGAACCCTGAACTTATGAACCTGTATATAATGTTTCATGATTTTTTAGTTTGAATCGCAGTAAATAAATGGCAACGATGTTGTGGAGGTGAAACCACGCAGTTATGCAAGGTCTAGGCATTTCCATTATCTCTTATAGCATAAGCCCTGGGAGGTTGCTTTTGAAGTCCGATTCCAATAACGGTGAGTAGTATATAGCTGGTTGGGGTTACAAGAAAAACGACAATTGGCAACATCGAAATAGCAGAGATTTGCACGAGTGGGATCTTGATGCGTGTGTGACACATGAACTAGTTCTCACCAAAGTGCAAGGAACTATCGTCCTGAATGATAATGTAAAATTTTCTGAAAGAAGTAACATCGCCAATTTGTGTGACGACCGTCTCGAGGTTTGTTTCACTGGAATACGGAGTACGGGTCTCAGAAAGAAATCATTCTCTGTTTGGGTATAATTGCAGAAATATGACACTGACGAATTCGTAAGGATTTAATCTCGAAACATGTCTCGTTGATACATCCGCACAACGACTCTCATACAGCATCCTCCAGACTCCAGTAACTCTATCCAAGGTTTAAATTACTACACCATCTTGAGTCGCAGGGGATTCCCGAATGCTCTGCGAGGAAGAGGTTTAATTCACTTCATGCAGTAGTATTCATAGTTGTGGAGACTGATATGCAAGCCTAGTTGACGATATACCACCTTCACCAGTCGGGATCGTTCACATATCAGAACCTCCTGAAACAGATGATGATCTCCACAGTTTCAATGTATTCATAAACCGCATCTTCCATACTGTTGCGGACAAGTCAAGATTCAATTCATTCGCTAGCCTATCAATATTGTACTCATATAGTTTGTCAAGCCCAGTCACAAAACAATGCCTTTGTTCTTCCTTGTCTGAATTTTTTCCAAAGGCTTTTGTCTGAATTTGGTTATTTAGATTCTCCCCAGGCTCAAAGCTGAGACAATCAGCTGAAAGAAGTACATGCTCGATACCCTTCCAGGAATCTAAAATATCTTCAATGTTGAGTTGGTACGACTCGGGACAGATGATTCAACGGCAGTAAACTTCTAAAAGATTCGAAACTGTCGATGAAAGTAAACTGTCGATGCTCAGGTCTCGCATCGATTTTACATGTACAGTTAAGTAGTAGAAACACAAGTATGATCTAAGAGCCTGCTCCTCCAGTTGAGGACACAGCAGCACTTACCGTTTACTTACGTGAGCAGGGGGTAATGTGAGTTTGTGGATTACTCTCCGGACTGATGAACAAGACTTCGACCAAGTAGATTTGAACGTGTTCGAATTCTCAATAAACAAGTACCCAGTTAGATTGCATAATAGAGACGTTCCTGAAAACGAGCTATGAAGAGTACATGCTCCACTTCATCAATCCTAATGTCTACCTTCTTTTCTCACGTGTGTTACGATATTGTCGATACGTCTCTTCCTTTCTATGTTAAGGTGAGTTGTATGAAGATAAATCTCTTTACTCATCTTCTTCCTTTCCCTCTTATATCTCATGTTACAACTGACCATTCTTTTCTTTCGGGCGCAGTTGCACGTTCGTCTAATACTCAAACTATCAATTGTACAAATTACGTGTTCTATACTGAATACATTTCATTTTCTTTCATTTAAAATAAATTTTCGTTTGGTCAGAGATTTCTGTTCATAATCTGTTCTTTTCCTTCTTCATCAAATGGTCAGAAAAGATTTCCTGTTAACAAAAACTTTCACTTTTCCATATATTTTTTTTTCTCCTTTGCTATATTTTTTTCAATTCATCTACTTTCTCATTATACTCTACATATTAATATTAACTTCAAATTTTTTTTTATATTTCCCTCCATAGTCTGTTTTTGTTAATTGTTTGTAACAAATTTGGATAAAATATATAATTTTAGTTGACTAGAGACAATTCAAATATGCGTTCTAGGAAAAGGGACAATGTTCTTACATATTTCTCCAAGAATCATATTCTCTTCCTTCACTTTCATGCCGACATTCTAGTCGCTTCTTCTCTCCTGCTCGCATCTCGTTCAACATTGAATCTTCACTTTTCTCCTCACTCTCAGAGATTGAACCGCGGTTGGTTCATAAGTGTACGATTCAGCCGATTCCTCTGTTCCTGCATGCATGTAACGTATATCAATACACGGAATGCACATTTCTGAACGTATATGTACACAAAACTCAGCGCATCATATTTCACATATCAATCTTCAGCATAATAAAGATAAACATTCATCATTTCAATAACAATGCCATATCCACTTTTAACAACTCATTTGCACACACAGGATTCACATCTAAATGTCTTTCCTTCTCTTCAATAATTCTGAAACATCTCTCCTTCGAGTGATGCTCAACGATGATACACATACATCAGGGGAAATGAGATAGATTTTCTCAACTGGGAGATAGTGGTACAGATTTCCCACACACACGATTTTAGTGTACAACGTGGTGGGTTGATTGGTGTGGCGTATGTTATACCCTACGCCACAATCTACACTGCACACTAGCAGAATACATCACGATTCTGAGGAAAAAGACTGCCTTTGCGTCAATCTCGATCAGAATCGTGTTTACCGAATCTCGGGCTACATTTGTCTACATAAGGAACCATAGTCACTTCTACGTTTGCTCACGAGAAATGAGCATCTCGTACACTCAATCCTCGACTACTACAACATAAACGCAAATCTATGCCGTCGCACCTGCCATGACTGGTCTCTGCACTTCCCAGCTCGTCAGCTCTCCCTCAACAAAGTCATAGTACCAACCGTGAATCCCAAGTTTTCCCGCTTCGAATTTTTCTTTGATCCATGGGAATGTGAGAAGGTTGGCAAGTGACACATTGACCGCTTCCTGCAGTACAAATTCCACTTGAGTTTCGATATCACAGCTTTCGATATACATAAAGTTTGTTAGGTCCTGTCTAGATCCGACCCAACAACCTACGGTAGCAACAACACAATTTTCCTGTACAGCTCGCTTTGAACACAGTAAAAGCTCCTTCAGTATAAGCGAGTATTACAAACTTTGGAGTGAGCGAGTGATAGACTTGCAACACAGATGATGTATGAACTGTTGGGTGCATAGGGCAATTGGGTTTCGAAGCCCAAGCAGTTTGAGTGTTTTCACCTGCTCGCAATATTTGCACTGGTCGCTGAATGTCTTTCCAGCCATGTTGACTAAGGTATGTTCCCTCGCAGGTATACCACAAGTCATCCAGCTACCGATGAAGTCACTGCACAGTCAATATACATTCAGACAACAACCTCCAAATTTCGGGCTAGGTTAACTGATGATGACAACTGAGGCTAAACATGACTTTATTCTTCTTAGCTAAAGACAACCGAAAATCGTGTAAAATGGTTACTGAGACTTAGAAGCCGAGTTACAAACCTTTCAAACTCCTCCGGCTTCCGCGACATAAGGGCCTTTATTCCTCCACAGTTCCTGTGTCCGATGACAATAATGTGCTCAACCTAGTCGTGCCAGGAGACATCATTCCAGAGATGTCAGAAAAGTCCGACTGATTATAAGTACCGTCGGAAAGATAAGCATCTGAAAAAGTCCTTGATAATACAATTGTTACAAGTATTTATGGGTAGTGTCGGAAGTTACCAGCAAATAGTTCACCGCGAACTCAAGGGCTGCGCTAGTTCCGTGATTGTTACCCTGTACGTTCAAAGATTGATAAGCATATGGCCGAGAAGCGATTTAGGTAACACACTGGCTCAAAATCTGTTGATGTTTCTTTGAGTAAGCATAGCCACAAACAACTTCTATTAAGTAAAGGTAAGATACAAAAACTAATCGGAATCCCGGATATCATCCCAGGCAACGTTCATTCGACTGCGAACGCAAGATGTTTGTTTCATTTTACATGGTTATCAGACCTGTATCTGTTCTGAGGCACATGAGAATCACTTACCAGTTCCTTCTCGCATGGTGGAACCAAGTTAGCAACATTCCGTACAGTAAACACCTCTCCAGGGTTCAGTCCCATGAGCATGGTCGGACACACTCGAGAATCGGCACAGGCAATGACCATCACCTTCAGGAAAAGACACGCCATTTGTTAGAATGTACGAGTAGACAAGTAGACGGCAACAACTGCGGATTTTCAACTGAATATACAGTACTGCTTAGTGCGCCAATCTACATCGAAGTTGGATATTCAAAAGTAAATTCCGGAACCAGTGAATAGCAAAGGAACCAATTAGAGCAACCTTCACTAGTATCGTAGTACTGATAAGACGAAATCAAATATCTGAATTTCACAGCTTTGCGCAGTGGATCAGTCCCTGTCCAATTTCATGTCTACAGGAGTACATTCAGCTCAAACCTTTCTAGCTTCTTGTGAAATACAGTTAGAATTACTAAAATTGCAAATATGTTTCGTCGCTGTAAAGACATAACTGCTGCGAGTGAAGAAACTCAAATTCCAGCCATCATAAAAATGTTCACCTTGGGTGACTGTCCCCCTGCGAGTTGCGTAAATAGTTCGGATTCCTTTCTGTTTACACACACCAGAAGGATCAGGTCAGTGACAGCGTGAAACATTATACCCTAGAACACCGCTCCTTTGGACTCGATCGGAGCCAAAATGAAATTTGAGGACATAATCTGAGAATGACAATGCCCGGAGAATATTAAGAGGCAGATGACGTACAGGAATCGCTCTTCTTTGAATTTAACAAATCCCTGTTTCAGCCTCTGGAGAACAGAGGACTCGGACGTTTCCTCAATGTTGTCAGCGGCAACCTTCGTGGGTTCCGACACATCATAGCCATGCGACAGAGATCCAGCGAAATTCGGCAAGCTAGCTTCTGTAGCGCCGTTGGTGGCGCAGATCTTCTCCTTCTTGTATGAGAAAGTAGTTTTCAAACCGGCGTCCATGAGCGGGTTCCTCCGGGTGGAAGAAGAGAAGTTGACGAGGGGAGACCTCCGGTCGACAGAGTGCTCATCAGCCGAGGAAAAGGAAGAGCATCGAATTGCAGCTACGCCCTTGACGAGGGAGGCTCCCGGTTTCGCCGCGCTGTGCATGGTCTGAGATTGGATCTGTCCGGACAGTGCAGATCCTCGGCAGAACGAGGACGATGAGGACATGAGTGCAGCCTCACCGACGGCCTGGTGCATCGTCACTGCGGTCGACATTTTTCCGCTCTTGATTCGGAGCTGCAGAATTCTACTCAGACTCTTCCTCCGCAGCTCGCTGAACATACATGCAATAGCCAGTGCCCCAGCGGGGTTTATAAATTCCCAGCTGCACCCGACCGAATCATAACTCCTACTCCTACTCCTACTCCTCCGTCAAGCTCGCCAGCATCCATCTCACCCGGCGACACCAGCCATCTACTTTTCCTGCTTCTGTAAGTTTCTCCGTCCTCGAGCTTCCCTCACGTCGCCATCTTCTTCGGATTTTTCTGACCTCCACCTCCCGAGCACATCTGCACCTTCCTCCTCCTCCTTCCTCCGTCCCTGAAGCGAAATTCCCGTTTCCCCTGTTCCCTCAATTCCTGCTCCTCCCTCGGCCTCTGTCACCAGCACACCTTCTGCCACTCGCTCGCCTCTCGATCGTCTGTCTCCGTCTTCGGCGAATGTCTCGCACGCACTTTTCTTGCTCGCTCGCTCGCTAATCGGCTGATTACGGCCGCTAATTTCGGCCTAAAATGTGACGTGTGCCTCCAAGCACTCGGGCCGCGGCTCCTCCGCACGGGCTTAACGGGCATCAAGGCGCCCCCGGTAAGCAACGCTGCGCTGTCTAAACTCGGTGGACGGGGTGGACGGGGACGGACGGTGTGCGGCTTTCGTCGCTGTCCCGTGGAGGGAAAAGAACGGAGCGCGCAACTGATCTACTTCCAACTACCGGAGCTCCTGCTTCTCCGTGACAGGCTGTCCAGGTCGCGGCCTGGGTTTCCGTCAACCGCTTTTTGGCGTTTTACAGCCCGCGGGTCGAGGTGACGTGGAATGCGGACAAATTCTGGATAAAGTACCCGTATGACATGGAAGGTTGGGCCTTTTGACGTGGACTCCCTCCTGATTGAGGTTAAGGTGGCCTACTCGATTTAATTCCCCTCCCGTTCGTATGATGCTCAGGAGAACGTTCCTTGCGGCTGGCTGCGATTGCTGGGCACACTCCACCGTCCGATCGGCCTCCGAGCCTTCCTCAGGCGTCCGATGGATTCGAACCTTCAAACAAATTTTCTGATGGTTCTCCTAATTGTATCGCCAAAAGTGAGCCAAAGCGCTGTAGAGCAATGACACATATGATTAATACGCAACTTAATTTTAATGGAAAGATAATACTTGATAATAAAATGATGCTGTGAACAATGTGAAGTTTACTCTCATTTATTTTCGGCTCTGGCTTCTTCAAAATTTGGCAATCTGGGTCACATGATGCAGCTTCAAGTTTTATTACCCGTAACTGGTTAGTACTAGTGAGAAAAGAATAGGTCACATCAACATCTGAAAACAATAAAATATCATATCATATCATATCATATCATGTAACATCATTGCTATGAAATCTTTTTCGAAATTTTCTAGTTGTGAGACATGGTGGACCACTTTCCTCAACACAAGTATGACATGAGAAACCTAGAGAGATTATACGTCAAGTGACTAATCTACTAAGCGAATGATGAGATCCAACCAATAAAGCAGCAACCAGGGAACCGCAAGGGTGGGGGAAAATTTTAAAGAGAAAAGTGAAAGTACGACGGAGAATATTGCAATGAATAATGGACTGCACTAGTCATTGAAAAAATTCCATAGCTTTTGTTGTACATGAAATTGGTTGAGTTTGAGTTTGAAAGGAATGAACTATACTCGTAGTTCTCTACCAGATATCCACAATTTCTTGAAAGGGAGAAGATTGATGATCTAATCTGAAATGCTATTGAATGCAATAATCATCCGTTCTGTTGAGTCGTATCAGGAAGGAAAAAATTCATACATTCGTTGGAATTCTATATTACATATGAATGTGCTACATGTATTGATTGTTGGGCCCACATAGAATCTATCTTTCAAGTTGAATTTTCCATGGACTGTCTTTAAGTCTTAGACTTAAACAATCGACCGCGAGACAGTCGGAAATTTTGTGCGTACTACTTTTGTAAATCTAGAGTGATTGATACAGCCATATTTCATGTAAGCTGGTGAAAATAGTAAATCAACTTGAGCATCTAAAGTCTACATCTTAAATATTAAATCTGGATAGGTAAAAAAATTGTTGATTTCTTCATGTTATTTTTTTGATAACATCAAACAAATTGGTGCTCAGCATTTGTCAATTTGTACATAAGAGTAAAAGAAAAATCAGATCTGTAGTTTAAGCATTTTAGTCTCAACTGTTAGCAATCATTTTTCTTGTCTCAAAAAGCTTTGGATGTCTTCAAAATCTCAGATAATTAAAAAACGCCCCGTTTCGAGTTTTCCAATATAAATTCTTTGCAGCATTGATTTATTTGTATGCAATATGCGTATGTTCACGTATTCAGAATTTTGTAATTAGATACTTTAGATGGAAGATGTTTTTTCCAAATCACAGCATCTGATGAAAACTTCGCAAAATTTGGAAAGAACGTTAAGAAAATTTATCTAATAGAATATCCTTAGTTGTATATGTATACTGCATGTTCCGCTGCAAGACAAATGGATTCCATTTGCTAAAGGACTTCCCACTTCAGAGGTGTGCAACTGGTGAATGTTACTTCCAAAATTCGAGAGTATAGCACAATGTAAACTGCCATCACGAAGATAATTTCATTAGCCAATTACTCATAGTTAACACTTATCTGGATCCCATTTCAACGTTGGTAGAAGGCCAACTCCGAATGTGCGTTCGCCTCGAGGACCCACGCTAAGTTAGAGTAAATTTTAGCAGGTTCTAGAATCTGGACACTTGGGGAATCTCCTAAAATATTGCTTATCTGAAAGTCCTATCCACATCTTTTTCACCCTGGCTTATCCTGGAGGGGCTTTTAGAGTAGAGGCCTCTAGAATCTAATCATCACGCGAGACTGGAGACTGAATCCGAGAGTTTGAATGAATCATCACTTCCACTTCCCGAAGCAAATTTAAATGCAAGCGACACGAAAAGTCATGAAGATTTCCTTCTTTTCGTTGTTTGTCGTACATTTGGAAGTCTGGCATGCAGCAGAGCAACTCCTTCCGAAGGGGAAAGATTTTGGTTGTATGGTCCAAATAGAAATACATCTCCCCTTCCCACCTCTGGGCTTGCCATCGTCGCGACCGATTCATGCAGTCAGATGCTACCGTTGCTGCTCGTGACAACACCACACATGCAAAATCGAGAATATACCACATAAGAACTGATGCTCGTGATGCTACCTACGAGGATAATCCAAGCAAGGTTGTAAATACTTCATCCGACTGTAGCCAATCAGAAAAAGAGGAGAATATCATATATTTTTTAAATACATTATCGATGTAAACTGACTTATCAATTTTTAAAACCTGACATCCACACTCTTTAACATGCAACGCAGATTTTACAGCGGTAAACGCCTGCTGATTCGAGGAATTGTATAGTTAGTTTTCCGAAGAAGTGTTAGAAACTTTAGTTACCAACTTGGAGAGGATTTGAAGGATTTACGGGAAGACATATTTGTCCATATCACAACTCCAAGTTCACATCATTCAAAAGTCAAACCAAACTTCGAGGTTTTCATTGTATTATCTCGTTTCGGTCTATAAGAGCATGACATGTGTCATTATCTCATTATAAATATCCTTATAATATTTTCAATGATTATAACATATACATTACTAGTTTTTTTTTTAATTTACTTGATATATCAAGACTAAGTTTCATGCATGCGAGCTGTGTAAGTATCACTTAAATCTTTTTAATATTCAATTTTTATTTTCAATATATGAATTAAGCTGAGCGATAATATATGATTGCTGACCGCCACAAAAATGTGTCGAGTGAGTACCGACGAAGTAGTCATGATTTAAAGCCTCATGCAAGTTGTTTGAACAAGTCATTACATCATCTATGACAAGTATTATATATTCAGGGATACTAGATTTCACGATCTAAACGTCGACTTTAGTCTCTCCCTCGAATCTGTGATGTTAACTTGCAAAGCCAATCATAAGACACTTATCAACAAGATTAAGGCGGAAAAGAACTGATAAGTTGAGGCCTGTAATCTGCGAAGTGGATATAGATAAGTACTCAGTGGGATATACAGGACCAGATTGCATCTAAATCATCTGACACTAGGCTACTACCGACTTATGTTAGACTTCTTCGTTTCTTTCCGCCCTTTATAAAACTACAAAGTAGATAATAAAGAAACAAGGCCAAAAGGCACGAGAAGGCAACCCAAGCTTTTCAGCTCCCAAACTCCCGTCAAGAAGTGGATGTATGGAGACGTGATTTCAGAAGGTTGCAATTATGTCGATCTCATGGCAGCAGCCATGTGGAAAAAGGTACCAATGACATGAAGATAAGAGGAGCAGGAAGAACTCCGATCATATATCATCCTCCTGGATACCGACGAATTCTTCCAGTTTCATGCACCTGACCGACCGACCGAACTCTATCCTCTCTCCATGCTTCATCGTATGACCGAAAATGCCCAAGCTCTCCCTCGTCCTCGACCTCGTCCTCGTCCTCGTCCTCCACAATACTGAATCATATTTTTCTGGCTGGAAGTTGCTGTGTCCATACATTGCACTGTACGAAGTGATCGACTGACGTCGGTGCGCGGAATCTCCCCATGGCCTGCTGCGTCAATCGATAGATCGCTCCGAGCGGATCCGATGACGAGGGATGGGGAAAAGAGCAGGCAGGCCGATCGATCTCCTCGTCATCTGTGGAGGACACGATTTGCATCCGACGTTTGGAGACGAGTCTGGGTCCTGGTTATCCAATCCCAGTCCGAGTCCGAGCCCCAACGTGACGTCGATGCATGAAACAAACCACACACTCCGTCGCTAGATCAGACCGTTTCGTGACATGGGACAACACAAAAGAACGAAAGCCAGCGATTATGGACTTGGGTTAGAGTCGGAGGCTCATCCTAGCTGGCGCATTAATTTTGTACGCGACATCTGTGATCAGAACCTCAGTTCCTAATCCGAGTTAAGTTCCGTGCACTTCTATTTTATTCCGTGCATGGAAAAGTACACCGTCAGACCTTCCCACTCGTACATTTATTGTAGGCAAAAAGGTCAATTTAAGCTTCC